CAGAAGAAAGACAATTTGATATCGGTTCGAATGGCATATCTCTCGCTTCCATACGATAAGCCAAACTTGCCAAATCGCCAATTGTATACTCACGTTGCCATAGCGACCAGCGCAGTGATGACGTACGAAAGGCTTAGCTCCACCACAGAGAAGGTCGATCACTGCAGAATTTGGTCATTTTCAATTGGTTTATTGTATTCACGAAGTGAAAGAAGGGCTGTGTTCAATGCTGTAAGTGCAGTGAACTGTTTGTTAGTAGTCCTCTCGGTTGTGTACTTGGACGTGACACCGACAGGAGAAAGCTGGAGCGCGGAGACACCAGCAAACAAGCGAAAATAGTGACGAACAAAATGCTGAAATCTTGGTTGGGACAAATCAGACGTTCAGCATTTCCCCCAACCAAGGACCATGCCGTTTGCTCTTTCCACTTCCTGAAGATGATTGTGATGCTTCCTGGCGACTTCCCTATCTTTCGTAACATCTTCTGAAGCCAGGTGAGACGACGGGTGGTGGAGATTGACGAATGAAATAATGTAGTAGGTTTGAAAGTTTGCTGAAAATGTCTCAGGAGAGACGGCGACTTCCAAGCATCTTGTCCTGGAGGAAACCATTTCCTAGGCACAGTCAGCCTTGGGAAATGCATGAGAAGGGCGACAAATAGTTCACGGCACTAACAGCATTGAACACAGCACTTCTTTCACATCGTGAATACAATAAACCAATTGAAAATGACCAAATTCTGCAGTGATCGACCTTCTCTGTGGAGGAGCTAAGCCTTTCGTACGTCATCACTCCGCTGGTCGCTATGGCAACGTGAGCATACAATTGGCGATTTGGCAAGTTTGGCTTATCGTATGGAAACGAGAGATATGCCATTCGAACCGATATCAAATTGTCTTTCTTCTGGACCCTACTCGAAAAATCGATGCACTTCCCCTTTAAGGAGGCTCTCCAAAGCTCTCCAAGCTTCAGAGGTGGTTGAAACTTGGAGATTCCCGCGGTTTGGGATCAGCGCATGAGAACTACGACTAAAAGCTAGTTTTCATCATGAGTGTACGCATTTCCCTTTTCTCATACGCACATACCGTAAAGTACCGTTGATCCGCCCCCACGCCATGTCGCTTCCCAGCTGGGTTTTCGGCAGGGGGCGAGAATTAGATCAAGGCTGTCAAGTGCAGTACGATGTACAACAACGTAGAAGTTCAGACTCGATGCGCTGGATTGTGCACATTTTGATCCTGGATTGGCAAGTATTGTGTACAGCAGTGCATGCGTCGGCTCAACATCGTATTTCGTTGTATACGCCGAAGTCGCTTCACAAGGAGAACATCGACAGGGGGCGGGAATTAGAGAGGGGGCGGATCAACGGTACTTTACGGTACATTCATCACTCAAGATCGCGGCCCCTTTGACGCTTCATCTTACTTGACATGTGCAAAATATCTCCGAATTCTTCGAGACCCGTTCTTGAGTAATCTCAGTTTCTTCGACTTCTCTTTTCTTCTTCTTCTAGAAGCTAGAGAATATAAGAACGCACCCTAACACTTTGAAATCCTCCGCGAAGTCCAAATTTGAAATTGCAATTTGTATTTGCTCGCAGTGGACATAGTTTATTTATTTATTTATTTATTCAACATCTCCTGGCCCGTCCGAAGACTGCCAATAAACATGAGAGGTCAGGTGATAGCCAACCACGGCAAGCTAAAAGGGAAAAAAAGAAAGATGCTGTCAGAGAGGGAAAGGAGATAGGGAGAGAAAAAGAAAGGGAGGCACATTAATAATACATGGGATCACTTCGGATGAGACAGTGTGGAAAGCTGGACTGTGAATTTCCTGATATCCTGTTTGATGCGCTCCCCATGACATCAAGCGAATGGCCGAGGGGCCGAGGGCCCTCTTGATTGGTGTGAGTTGCCAGTACGTATGATGCAAGCCAGATGTGGATTGATCGAAGAAGGATAGATTAACAATCACTGCGGATAAGAGTCATAGTACTGTAGCTCAGTTGGTTAGAGCATTGCTCGCGAATAGAATAGCAAGGTCCCTGGTTCGAGTCCCGGTGGTGTGACTGATGATTTTTCTTTCTTTCATATCTGGCTTGCAAGTGTTGAGTTTCGGAGAGAAAAGAGTAGCACGTGGCATGTGGCCTCTAATTTCCTAACACTTCCTATTATAAGATTCGAAAAATAGGGCACAGGTCTTAGTAATATTGCGCAAGGAGATGAGCCTGAGATGTTAGTATTTGAAACAATTATCTTATTCAACACCCAATATCTACTAAGACCTAGCAAGGAAGAATTGGTCACATACCTTTCCCTATGCTCATGCCACACCCATTTTGAGTTGAAAAATATGACCCAAATCCTATATATATATAGGATCTAGCAAATTAAGAGATAAAGTGTAAATACACACACATACATACAAGAGATAGGTCACGCATTTTCGCTGTTTACTTTAGCTATCTTCTTCTTTGCACTGTTTTACCACCTCCTTACTGTACTTAATCCACTGTTCCTTTTCCCTTGCCTGTATTTCACCTGATGAGAAGGCTTGAAAGTATACTTGTGAAAACAAAAAACTTTCAAGATGTTCGTAATGAGCCAGAAGTGTGTCCTTTTTATGAGTCAGTATAATAATAATAATAAACACAGCTCGCATCTTCCCTGAACCTGTTAGACAGGAGCAGAGTCGACGCATCTGTCAACAGTGTCAAGCCAAGTTAGTCTATCTCCTGCAGCTTGGAGAGCGCTCTCCACGGAGAGATCCGCTGCCTTCAGGTCGTGCCGAATCGTATCTATCCACCGCAATGGCGGACAGCCACGGGTTTTTTTATGTCGTTTGTGTTGATTGATAGCTCCAGTGCTTGGAACGAGGCGGATTCCGGACCCTCTCGCACCACATGGCCAAACCACAGCAGCCTGCGTCGCCGACATGTGGCACTAACTGGAGATTGTTTTGTTTCTGTGTATAAGTTGTTATTGGTGATGCGTTGCGGGTAGACAATCTGCAGCAGTACGCGTAGCTTCCTCCGTTGCCATTTGTCCAGTTTGTCGTTCAGCAATTTGGACAGAGTCCACAATCCGCAATTGTATAGAAGGATCGGCATTATGAGTCAGTATGCCAGTATATATTTTTTTACAGAATGCACCTCCTACTGATAGACCATAACAAAGAGAGGAGAAGAAGAAGACAAAAGAAAATAATGATCGAGACAACAAAGGAGAAAGACAGACAATGTACTAGTAGGGGCTCTCATGCAGGGAGCCTGTGCCGGTGAGGCGGGACTAGCAACGCCGACCTAGGGTCTCGGCGTTAGCGCTATCCAGCGCACCATGGACGGGATTACGAAACACATGTAAATAGATAAGTGAGGGGGAGGGAGCTGATTATGGATGGGGTGTTACAGCGAGTCTGTAGCCCAATACCAGCGGCTTTGTCGTAGGTGCTGATGCACCTTGCCCTTGAACGACTGGAGGGACGTCAGGCGTGGCGGAGACTGCAGCACAGTTGGGGGCAAGTTGTTCCACTCGTCAATGATACTGTAGGGGAAGCAGGGTCGCACGTAATCAGGAGAGGAAGCCGGGAGGACGTTCTGTCGCTGAGACTCGTGGCGCACCGAGTGGTCGGACCGAGTTCGAGGACATGTTCGTGGAGGAAGCCGCGGGGGGACCAGCGACGTTAGTTGCGGTGGCCCTGCCAGACACATCAGTTAATACATATAGCTGAGGGCGGCGACCAATCTCCTTGCTACCAAACTCTGGAGGAGGACATCAGCGCCAAGAATGTGGAGGTCGACAGCCCGGAAAACAGTAAACTGATGCATGCATGGTGGATCCTCACTCAGGAGTCATGACGTTGCTGCAGGACTTCAGTGTCCCACCTGGACGCTAGCTGCATAGCAAGTCGCCGTTGGTACGCACGGTACTCTGTGCATCTGTTGAGCAGACTAGCGGAGTGAAGGACGCTCTCACTCAAGTCCTCTGCAGCCGCCATGTACGTTCTCTTCTTGGAAGAGGCAGCACTGTTGGATACAGTGTTCCAAGAGAGGTATGCGCGGACGGAACTGGGCGCGTCAGCATCCATGATGCGGTTATCAAAGTACGCCACCCTGCCTCCCTCCCAAACTCCCCGGGCCAGCCAATCAGCGTGCAGTGAAGGACGGCTATTGCCATCCTGCACCGGAACCATCACCGGCTCGACAGCCACACTGCTAGGCAACGTCTGCCAGCCGGGCATCGAAGTCGCGGACATCGTTGTGCCCGCGCTTGACGAGTCCACCCTTCATACAGTCCAATCCTTGCTGTAGGTAGAAAGCAGCTACACAGCCTCCCTCCTATCTCTCTCTCTCTCTCTCTCTCTCTCTCTCTCTCTCTCTCTCTCTCTCTCTCTCTCTCTCTCTCTCTCTCTCTCTCTCTCCCTCCCTCCCCACCCACGTTTTGTGCGCCTAGGTGGCCATGAGGTCGACACTCCAGGTCGGCGGAGCTCCCTAAACCTCACCACCACTGCCACGATTCATGTTGTGTGTGCTTCCCTAGCAGCTGCTCATGTTTGTTTTCTTTGTAAAAATAAAAATAGAAGAAAAAGCCATCGCAATGCGACGGGAGGGCGTTCGGCTCCTGGCCATAGCAAATAGCCAACTGATTGCGGAACTGGACGCCGTCGCCCGATATGTTGTAACCTTCCTGCTTCCGAGGAAGCACTGTCAACCAGCCAGACGCGTTGCCGTCAACGATGGAGTTGAGGATCCGCTGTTGGCGAGGCTCTGTTACTTGTAGCTTACTGCATGTACTTCCATGGACTACCGACAATATCCTCTTCCTTTTTTTTAATTGAAGGTTAGTTTTGAGTAAACTCAGTGAATTCTATGCTGGCTGTAAACTTGTGAGTGCAACTTGGGCAAGTCTGACAATTACACAAAGGTGGTTGAACAAGCTCGTATACTTTGAGTCCCAACATATTGGCAGCAATCCGTACCGCGAGGCAGTGAATTCTTATAATACTGATACTTCAATACTTCTTATAATACTGATGCTCCTGCTCCAAAATAACATTGGCCAAAATAGCCGCAGCGGATATTTGAAGAGATTTAAAAACGTAATGGGAATCATAATGCCGTATTGGTACTCTATTTAAATATAAATAATTCCCAGCGATTGAGTTCATTTAAAAGAAATTTGTGGGTATGAAACTGCATTATAGAAAGAAAGAAAGAAGAAGAAGGAGAGATGAAGTCAGTAGGAAAGTATTGAATCAATTTGAAAAGAACAAGTCATTGATAATTACAATGGTCACGAGTTGAGTAAAATCCGATTGGTTGTAGCCAGGGAGTAGTTACTACTCCCTGGTTGTAGCAGTTACAATATTTCTCTGATTAGTCAGCATAAAAAAATAGAATCATCAAGCTTGCAGGCACTCTAGTCAATGTATAAAAAAGTAACTGATGTAAATATATGCCCGTGGGTTGATATAAATAATATTAGGTGAATCCCCGATCCAGATAAAGAAGGTGTAGGCCGAGTTTGGTCAGAGGCACGTTTCAGCAAGATTGTTCTGCAGACCTGCCTGTTCTAGTCTTCTCTACCAGTATGTGAGAGAAAAATCTCACTGAATATCACCAGTCTTTTCAATAACGTAAGCCGCTGAGCCACCGTCTTGCTCATCCTCGTTTTCGAACTCTTTTGTTCATCCCTTTGCCAGACGCAGCACTTGGCCTGTGACCCATAAAGGTACAGAAGAAGAAACATACAGGTATTTGATCGCGGCTTTGTTCCGAGAAGTGCAGAATGGTGTTCAGCCTCACAAGTAATTCAGTGCCCATGCAAACCTATGGCAGATTGCCGGGGAAATAATCATGAATCAAGTCAAGCAATAGCCTTCTGTGCACAGATTCTGAGGCTCAGCATTGAACAATGGCGGGGGGGGATCAGACATGCTACGGTCACTGCCGTATCAACTCCACTACAAGTACTTCTTGTCCCTGGCATCCGTGAAAAAAATGTGAAATGAGATCTTTTTTGGATCCAATTTTTTGAAATATAAGGGCGGTACCCCCCCCCCCCCCCCTGAAAAGGCACATACAATAGTAACCGGCCATACCGTAATAAAATACCGTTCGGCGCCCCTGGATAATTCGTAGTCCTAAGTTATTGCAAGTCACAGTGTGCAGCGGTGTGCATTACGAACATGTGGGTGTACATTGCCGCGGAGCAGAACAAAGAAGACACCAAGCAACGATCCTGACTGCATGCCTTCGTATACCACATCATGAACTGGCAAGCCCCTTGCCCATTTTTATCTTCCACGCACAATAACCCTGGGACATGTGGATAGTACGATCATGAACCACACCACCAACAATGTGAACTGTCATGAAAACATACACTTCTGCTTCAGATGTCTTGGCGTTGGCTGCTGCAGACGTGAGTTCAGCTTTCTTGGGTGCTTTGGGTGGCTTTTCATTGCCACCTGAAGTACCCTGGAGTCTGCCGACTTGAACCGCCTTGCCTTGAGGTGTTGGCCTCTTTTTCTTCATTCTGTCGGATTCTGACTGTGCATCTTGCCTTGCAACAAGATGACCAGATGCAGTCCTGATTAAAACAACATCCAAACAATGCCCATGGACCTCCAGGTGAACATTATTATCTTGAACAAAGCAGAATGTTCAAGTAAGTTCTGCGACAGTACTCGAGTACGACGACCTTCTAACCAAGTTTACCCCAGCAATGGTGAATATGTGGGCTAGGGTCCACTGGTGCATGGTACCACACAACAGCTTCAGGACACTGACCCAGCCTTTCCCGCCTTTCAAAATCTTGCTACTTCATGCCTGGTCAGAGAAGTGAGGTACGCCGGACGTTAGCCCATTCCAGTGGGGGAATAGGTGCACAGAAAACTTTCCAATATTGCCATATTGCTATGTAATGTCTCATCAAAAGTAAGATAATAATTAGCCTGAAGTTGCACACATGTACGTGCTTGCACGTGCACATGCACACATACACACACACACACAAACACACACACACACACACGCGTGCGCGCGCGCGCACACACACACACACACACGCCCCTGGTCAATAAAAATGTTTAATATGGACAGAAACTAGGACTGAATACACCACACATTTGTTACTTACGGCACATGGTTGGCTGAGGGGTTCCTTGGTGTTGGTAAAGGTGCTCCTGGTGTAGGTTCCAATGACGTGCCAGGAGTGGCAACATCATCATAAGGTACAGCAGGTGACGCGCTCCTCTTCACACCCTTCTTAGCATGATCAATACCTTCTGGTGTAGCATAGCTGTAATCATCAGGCCGACGGAGGCTATCTATCTCCGTAGTATGATGGATGCCATCTGGCCGTGAGTAGACGTACCCTTGTTTAGTCACTTCATTGAATGGCTTGCTAACAACTGCACTGCAAGAGTCAGAGGTGATGTGAGCAGCCGCTGCTGCTGCTGCTTCCCGACTACGGCCGTCTTGCTTGGCTGTATGGTGAATACCTTCTGGCTCAGAGTACGTGTACTCTGTTGGGTTCACGGTGCTTGCAGGACGAGAGGGCACAGCGTGGGCAGGGACGCTGGGCTTCACCGCTTCAGAGACAGGGCGTTTGGATGCTTGCCTTCCATCTGGGTCGATATCATGGACTTCGTACGCAATACTTGTGGCTTTGCTGTTTCTACTTGCCGCCACCAGCTTTGGTTTGGGTGAAGGTCGAGGTTGCTGGACAGATAATCTCGGTCCCAGTGAGTCATACTCCTCTCCCGTGCCGTTGGCAATCACAAGGTCACCCGAATTGGCTTGATCTCTGCTGAGAACATTATACATGTCATCATTTGCTTGCAGCCTATCGTACATCTCTTCCTGGCTGTGCGGTTGTTGGTGATCCGTTGCACTGGCATCACGGTTTAGCATGTCATATGTATCCTCGCCGGGGTTACCATTTCCCACTACTATGCCGTCATTGCGGACGGTCGTGTCATATTCGTTGCTGTCTTCGGCTCCGCCAGTGCAACCCGCGGTGACGCCTGGTGCATTGAGACTATCATACGTATCGCCATCAGAAAGCACAGACTCTGCCATCGGCTTGCCATCAGTTTCACGGACAGTTCTGTCATACGTGTCCTCTTCACCCTCGCCAAGGGTTATGCTCACTTTGCCGTCTTGATGCATTGCGGATGTTAAGCCATTTTCTGACTCGTAGTTTGTCGACGGTGTCCACTTGACCTTACCAAGTTTTCCAGCTTTGGATTTCTTCACATGTGATCCACCTGCTGCATGGGCAGAAACGGACACATGTACCCAAGTATTCACATGCAAGCACGCGTACACGCGCGCGCACGCACATACGCACATGCACGTGGCGTTTACCGTCCTCACACATGCACACGTGAACAAATACACAGACATCCACCACACGTACACACCCTCATATGCACACACAGGCACACACAGACACACACATGCACATATGTGCAAAAGAAATCCATACCCGTCCATGTGTACACATATACACGCCCATGTATGTACACAGATATGTCATGTGTGTTTGTACAAACAGAATAGCTAAAATGGGAACCTTTTCATTGAACCTGCGGTCACTTTTTCAGGACAGCCTGAAAGTGACAGTGATACTATAAATCAGAATTATGGAAGGTCTATCCATACAGCCTGTCTAATCTTGCCATAGATCTTTATTCGATCCTCCGGAGGCCTTTGGAAAAAAACCAGCCCACCCCATTGTTGCATCTAGTCTTTCAGTTATGACCACTCAGAACATGCAAAACCAACGAAGATCTGTGTAGAATGGGCATCGGGTCTAGTGGAATTGAACATGTTCTGAACAGGGATGGTGCTCAGAACATGTCCATGTTCTGGCCAGAGCAGACTCAGAACCTGCTCAGAATATGGCCAGAACTGGGCATGGTGCTTAGAACATGGCCAGACTATGACATATTCACAGAGCATTGTTCGACATATTCACAGAGCATTGTTCGACATATTCACAGAGCATTGTTCGACATATTCACAGAGCATTGTTCGACATATTCACAGAGCATTGTTCGACATATTCACAGAGCATTGTTCACAGAGCATTCGACATATTCACAGAGCATTGTATTCACAGAGCATTGTTCACAGAGCATATTCACAGAGCATTGTTCGCAAACCGCCAAGTATAGAATCAAGTCACCAAATTGTGGTCACAGTCTGAATCAAATGAGTTGTACAAAATTCGCTGATGGGTATTTACCACAACCTACGTATAATAATTATATGAAACATCCAACACAATCCATAATATTGTGAAAGAACAAGAATTCGTGAAGAATGATGTCCTTAAGTCGCCAATCAAATATCAGCGTACTGATTTCAGCCTCAGTTTTCAGGATAGCCAAAGCTCGATATGCCCCCCAATAGCCATATACTCTGCATTTAGATTACAGAGATCAAGAGGAAACTTACCAGCTTCACCCACATCGGAGTAGCGCTGAGAGTCTCCACATTTGCTCATCTCGACCAGTGCAACTGTGCTTGAGGCAGAGTGCCGATGGTCACCATCCCGGTCAAGTTTCATACCCGATCTGTTGCACACCCAATGATAGGACATTCAGAACTACATCTGTACTTCTGAGTTTCTGAACAATGTTATTCTGCCAGGTTGTTTCCCTAGATGTAAGCAACGGTACGGGTCGTACACATGGCGTCCCGTTCTAGGTGCATTATCAAGCAGCAGCAGAATTGTTATTACTTCAAAAGAAGTGTGCTATTTGGGAACACTCAAGGACAGGGTTTATCGAATACTCTTCCGAGTCGGTTAAGCAGCCCGTGCCAACCCCTCCCCAAAACACATACACACACACACACGCACACGCACACACACACACACACACACACACACACACACACACACACACACACACACACACACACACACACACAGGCACATAGAGACAAAAGCCACTGGCCCTTGTGCTGTGACCCGAGTTACATAAAAGTTACATTACAGTACAGTTGCAGACAGTTGCTGTCTGATGATTGGTTAATCCCGTGAAACTCACTCAGAGTTACAGCAGAAATGCTTTTGATTCCTCTCAAGTGTGTATAAATTACATTAGTCAGGCAAGCATACAAGTTGTCAAAAAGCAGGCTCTGTGTCAAAGGGCACAAGCTCAAGTGCCAATAGGAAATGACTGCCATAAAAAAAACATGGACTGTGTCTTACCGCTTCCTTCGGCGAGTTACGATCACGATGATCAATATCAACAAGATGAGAAGAAAACCTGCTGCACCTATTCCGGCTAAGGCTACAGGCACAACAGAAAGCAACACATAACAAGTTGCAGTTAGTTTCACAGTACACATACATGGATATGTTTCCATGTTTCACTCAGTAAAATATGAACCAACGAACATTCCGGAACTGATCACCTGAAAACGGTCTTACCTGGCACACCCAGACTTCCAGAGCCAGACTGATTGTCACTTCCTGTAGACAAAACAATCCATAGGTAAAACAGAAGTGGTGTGGGTGGGATGTAACTCATTGGCATGTTTAGCCCAGTTGTTTTCAACGACTGATATATAGGCACCGAATGCATTGCCGTACTTTCCGGAATATAAGCCGCACTGGAGTATAAGCCGCACTGGAGTATAAGCTGCACTGGAGTATAAGCCCCACTGGAGTAAAAGCCGCATTGGAGTATAAGCTGCACTGGAGTATAAGCCGCATTGGAGTATAAGCCGCATTGGAGTATATGCCGAACTGGAGCATATGCCGAACTGGAGTATAAGCTGCACTGGAGTACCGTATTATCTCTATTATAAGCACGGTCCTTTATTTTTTCAATGTACCTCCGCCCCGTGCTATTAATGGAGACGTTCCTTTATTGGAGACTGTTCCATTATTATTTCAACCTCATTTCAGAGGCATGTTACCATGCCAAATTCATGTCAGACACACACATTTCAGGGTTTTTTCGCCGGTACAGATGGCGTGTGCTTATAATGGAGACTGAGCACTTTATTTTTTGAATGCCACCCCAAGGTGTTCTATTATTGGAGACGTGCTATTATTGGAGACTGTGCTTATATTAGAGATAATACGGTATACTATAAGCCGCACTGGAGTATAAGCTGCACTGGAGTATAAGCTGCACTGGAGTATAAGCCGCACTGGAGTAAAAGCCGCACCCCCCCCCCCCAATCTTTTGCCACGAAATACAGACATCTATCCTATTTATCACCCTTGATTGGATCATTGGAGTATAAGCCACACTGCCTTTTTTATGTGATTTTTGAGTGTGTTCAAGGTGTGGCTTATAGTGCGGAAAATACGGCAATAATTGCAGTACTTTCTTGATAGTGATTGGTACTGATTGCACTAATCTGCTGGAGTAAGTTCACTAGGGTTCACCATAGATTGTTACCAGTGCAGTTCAAGACATCAAGTACGCGTAGGCCACCAACCTGGGCAGCCATCACTGCTCGCATCCGCTGTGCACTTGTCCACACAAGAGTATGATCCGATGGAGTTGACACACACCGGGGTTGACACTGGACACGTGTGCACAGTGCATTCGTTGATGTCTGTGAAGAGAGGCAGAGACGAGAAGAAGACACAGCCTGCACTGGAGATATGCAACCACACTATGGCTAAGTGAGCGCAGGGCCTCGGGCCTGCATACAAGCGTATGGCTATTCCGGCCTACGGGCACTCTTGGATACAATGCCGGAATGTGCATGGGGAAAGATTTTCCATCCCAGGAAAGTAGCAAGTGGAATCCTTACCTGAGCAGGATTTCAGGGCATTGCCTGTGAAGCCATTGTGGCATTGACACAGTCCTGTTGTACGGTTGCATTCTGTTGCGTTGGAATGGCTGCACTCGCCAGCACACGCATCTCCAGCTGAAACAACCAATCACAACAAAATTGCACGTGGCTAGACTCCACACATTTCAGCCATGGCAGCAACGGCCTCCAGAGGCAAGCACGTAAATAACAAAATGGGACAACAGTAGGTTATTGAAAATCTTTTTTTCTGTAGATGCAATCCACGCACTGTGAAATGTGTTGGAGCCAATAGAGCAGTTTTTATAGATCGATGAGTAAGACTGCATCAGAAGGCAAGCTGTTCCAACCAGCAGGGCCTTCATATGACATGCACAGTTATTCCGATCCTGGGGTAATGGGATCAGGCCGTTGTAGACCATAGAAATCTGAGAGGCTGCACATCTGAAAATTCTTACCGACTACACTTAGAGTCCACTCAACCATGCTTGACCTATAGGCCATGAAGGCAATCGATGGATCCGTGGCCACACAGCGGTAAACTCCTTGATCAGACATAAGCACCCTGGTAATGAGGAGGACTCCAGTCCTAGCGCCGAAAGATGCTCGACTTGGAAGGTGGCTGACCATGCCAGTTGCAGGGTCAAACCTTTGCCAGGTGAAACTGACCCCGGAGGTGCTGTTGTGTACAGTACATGTTGCATTGACTGATGATCCCTCTGCAGCCTGGTCACCAAGGCTTGAGATGGCAGCAAGGACAGGTGCTGGCAGAGAGAGAGAGAGAGAGAGAGAGAGAGAGAGAGAGAGAGAGAGAGAGAGAGAGAGAGAGAGAGAGAGAGAGAGAGAGAGAGAGAGAGAGAGAGAGAGAGAGAGAGAGAGAGAGAGAGAGAGAGAGAGAGAGAGAGAGAGAGAGAGAGAGAGCACACAACACCTTTGTTTCACCTATGCCAGAAGAATTATTCTCCGCTTCACTAGTTTGAAAATATTCACGAAGTCTTTGAAAGCTCGTCCCTTTGCGATATCACTTGGAGGCCCAGTCCTTATCCGGAAACAACTGGATTGATCATGCAATAGTGGAATTGAGATTTGAATGTACTTTTTAGATGTAGTTTTGAAGCTTACCTTGAACTACAAGTGGCACACTGACTGAGGTATTGTACGGCAGAGTGAAGTTGGGAGATTTGGTGACCCGAGGATTGCTGACTGTACACACATAATCTGCAGTGTCGGAGCTGGTCACAATCCTGCCCAGCACACTACTGCTACTTAACAGCATATCTGAGCCGGCTTTGCGCCAGGTGTAGACAAGAGGAGCAGTGCCAGCTATCACAGTACACTCCACAATGATTGTGGTTCCCGTCAAAGCGTACACTATACCATTGATGAGGATGGCTTTATCCGTACGAGATGCAACGTGTGCTTTGAATGGCGGAGCTGCAGAAAAATCAGGACAAAGAACAACCATGCTCCCGGTTCCGAAAATCACGAACATGGTGAACGACAGTGCAGTACAGCAGACAATGAGAACAACTGTATGTGGGCTTCCCTGTACGAGAAGAAAGGCAGATGGCATAACGAAGCCCCCCCCCCCCTCATGCAAACTGTCTGTTAAATTTACTCCGGTCTGCCAGCGTTTGCAATGCCACTTGCAGATGTGACACTCCCTGTTTTCTCTCATTTTATAATCTGGCTCAGAGATTTTGTTTGCTACAGGTGCTGTCTGGTGCCAAAGAACATCGTGAGCCGTTCCCATTGTCCATGTAGAAACCTCTAAATAAGGAGTAGTTGAGCCAGCATGTACATGTACATACAGGTACTAGTATCATGTAGTGCCTGGTTAAATGATCGCCTGGTTAAATGATCGCCTGGTTAAATGATCGCCTGGTTAAATGATCGCCTGGTTAAATGATCGCCTGGTTAAATGTTCGCCTGGTTAAATGATCGCCTGGTTAAATGATCGCCTGGTTAAATGATCGCCTGGTTAAATGATCGCCTGGTTAAATGATCGCCTGGTTAAATGATCGCCTGGTTAAATGATCGCCTGGTTAAATGATCGCCTGGTTAAATGATCGCCTGGTTAAATGATCGCCTGGTTAAATGATCGCCTGGTTAAATGATCGCCTGGTTAAATGATCGCCTGGTTAAATGATCGCCTGGTTAAATGATCGCCTGGTTAAATGATCGCCTGGTTAAATGATCGCCTGGTTAAATGATCGCCTGGTTAAATGATCGCCTGGTTAAATGATCGCCTGGTTAAATGATCGCCTGGTTAAATGATCGCCTGGTTAAATGATCGCCTGGTTAAATGATCGCCTGGTTAAATGATCGCCTGGTTAAATGATCGCCTGGTTAAATGATCGCCTGGTTAAATGATCGCCTGGTTAAATGATCGCCTGGTTAAATGATCGCCTGACTGTTCTTCGGCACATCGCTCTTCGGCGCCCGACAGTACTGCACCTGCACTAAATGTCTGTTGACTGCAGGGTTAAGACTGCTAGCATGCCTGCATGTATTGGTATGGCTATAGAATTCACATACCTTCCCTCAGTTTGTAAAAGCTGATCGAGTTGTTTCCACCACATTGGTACTCAGGTGCACCGGCACACTCGAACGTGTCTCCAACCGCCGCCGTCAGCTTAGAAACAGCAAAACTTGTGCAATAGCACTCCGCACCATCAGCCATCCCTCCAAAGAGGTAGCCGTTTTGCACACATCCCACAGCGCATCGGCCTGGATGGTGATCACCGTCTGCAGCAGAGAAGCTGGTCAGCCTTTGCACATAGGTTGAAAACGATGAAATACTCGAGATGGAAGCAGTGATAATAGAGTCCACTGCCGGCCATACTGTAGGATAAAATAAACAAACGCAATGGTACAAACAGCCTCGGAATAATTCTCTCACTGTTAGAGAGTAATCAGTAGACTGAAATTACTTACACAGAAGGCAGATCCGTTTCATACCAGTCCAGTTGTCTGGAGATCATTTTCAAGTGAAAGGGAAGGTTCGGGCTGAGTTTCAACCAATCCTCAATTTTGACTTTGTATAACTTTTCAACTATAATATTAATTGTTATATCCCTGATATGTCTTCATCTACCCTGTTAACGGTTTGTGTCTGAACAGCTGACGGTCAACAATGAATAATGTACATTAATGCTGTGTACTGGTCTATACCCATAACATACTGAGGAGATTTAATGAGTAAGCAACCATTTTGCAACCATCTTACCCTACCAATTCGTTATTTCTCTAATGATAACGCGGTCCAAGAAATGCTCAAGAATGGATGCAGAATAGTGTCAAAAGACATTCATAAGTTGCCTTTCTACTCACAGTTCTGACAAGAAAGTCCACTATATTCACCGATACAGTCACAGTGATCAGGTGCGGTACAGTATCCTTGACCTGCAATACACTGATCCTTGCAAACAACTGTACAAGAACAACAGTCCCGGGCCGGGGAGACACAGCAGTAGCAAACACATAGCATAATAGCTAGAGCAACTGGTGTATAGATATGAAACTGAACTCTATCATTCTCACTGGACATACACCGAGAAATCTGTGCAGCATGTTGGCAATAGTGAACAGCACACATGAGCACCAACGCCTAAATAACCTGCCTGACCCATGCACCCTGATAACAGGTAACTGGTTCCTTACCCGTGCACTGTCTTCCATCACCAGCATAACCAGGGTTACATGAGCAGCTGTAGGAACCACTGGTATCTGTACATGTTCCATTCACTCGATTACAAGTATCCACCCCTAGAACACATTCATCAATATCTGCAGGAAAAACAAAATCCAGTCCGTCAGCACAAGTTCTCATCTAAGCCCATGGCCAAACACATAGTGAACCTTGTTGCACGTCAACCTTTCGTTTGATCTTCAAACGATGGGTAACTCGTACAGTGTAATTGACACTAACGACTCCAACTATAACTACTTCGAAGTAAAAAAAAAAATTGTCGTGTCCGTTCCCAAAGGGAACTCACGACGGCCGCTAACACCCGGTAAACCCTAGCGGAAGATGCAGCGCCTAACGGTTGGGGTGAGTCGATACGTCTCACAACCACTGGCACAAGTGCCGAGAAACCCCATTAGCCGCATCCATGTAAGTCATCGGATAGGACGCTATCCAGTTTCCCTGTTCAAAATCGAGGACCTCCCATTTGAATGCATTCCATTCACCACACACTCCCCATATTCCAATTCCAACTTGTATTCCGATAGAAACGTACTTGCACAGCTCGGTTCTGCTCCAGACCAAGTCATATTGACTTGACATGCTCGCTGATTGGCAGATCCAGTTAGCTTGTATCCAGCGAGGCATGAGTAGATAGCAATGGACTGCAGCGCTAAGCCATTGGTGGCGACCACCTTGCCATTCAAGATCCTGTTGAGACCTGGACAGTAGCTGTTATCAGCTACAAGCACACACATGAAGAGCCACACATTGTAAAATATGGAAAGGTACATTTTAAAACATATTTGCACGCACTCTTCTTGACGTAGGGGCATTTATCAAGGCTTCCTAAATTGGGTTTGATCTCTGCTGTTAATGCATTGTATGGGAGTGGAGTGACACACGGCAATAGGAATCAATCAGTCTGACTAGAGCCAGAATTGAACTTTGCTCACTACACTAACCTGCACATGCTGGTACTGTGTCATTCCAACTAGCATCCAGTTGGCATGACAATACTCTGCTTGTGACCGATGTCATGGTTTCATTCTGGACATAGTAGCCAGGCAGACATGTGTACTTGATAGCAGCTCCAGCCGTGTTGGAAGATGATGGTGTGAGGTATGCTGCAGTCCCATTGTCCAAGGAAGTAGGGATGCTGCTGCATGTCACCGCTGTACATAGAAATGAGCATATCATCCGTTTTGAATGCACATCACACGACGGAGCACAGTGATTCTGCTGAGATAGAAATGTTCGCTGACCTTCACTCAACATTACACACAGGTAAGCACTGGCTGCTCTGATACTAGTGATGGTGCTACGTGCACAATTTGCAGACTTGGTTACCGTACACACACTTACCCATCTCTCTCTCTCTCTCACTCTCACTTTCATTCTATCTCTCTCACACACACACTCTCTCACTCACTCACTCACTCACTCACTCTCTCTCTCTCTCTCTCTCTCTCTCTCTCTCTCTCTCTCCATCATTCCTCTCCCCCCCCCCCCTCCCATGGTGCTTGCTGTGTACGCCGATCCCGAGACCCTTGGTCAGGGGAGTCCACCGCATCTCACCAGCGCAGCTCATGTAGCGCCTACACACCCATTGTTGTTTTTTGTTTTGTCTTCGTTTTGTTTCCCCTTCTTCCGTAGGTTGTTTGTATACTTTATTTAGAGTGGGAAGTCCAAAACAGGCCCTAGCCTAATAACAATGGTCCCACTAGTGAGGGAATGCTGTATATCTGTGCATAAGTATCAGTGAGTGTAACAGCAACTAGTTGGGAAAGAAAAAGAGAGAAGAAAAACAACTCAAAACAGGAGTTGCGACTTGCATAGGGAGAAAATAACGTAAAGAGCAGTGCATACAGCATTTGTAAAAAGGCTTATTTATCTGGTAAGCAAAAAGGCAAGAGCCATTGACTTAAAGCGATTGCGTTTTCTTTCTTGCCTGACCGCAGCGGGGAGCTGGTTCCATAAGATGGTCCCAGCATAGGTAACACGTTTGGCAAGATATGCAGTTGGGCTGGCTGGGACAATCAGTAAATTGCTGTGCCCACCACGAGTTTGAGTGGAATTACTGCGGCTGAAAAAGTTAGCGAACAACATGCTGATGTTAGAGGAGTCATGGAGACAACGCCAGATAAAAACCAGAAGGTGCATGTTGGCGTATGTGGTCAATGTTTGGATGTTCATGCGCGTAAGAATATTGCTTGTGGGTGTCCCGGGAGGTACCCGACAGACTGTGCGTACAGCACGCTTGAAGAGCCCATTAAGCCGTCGACTTTGATACGCCGTGAGAAATGGTAAGTAAGCAGAAGCGGCATACATAAAGTGTGATAAAATGAAAGAACGAAAATAGGCTATGCGACATTGAAAAGGCAGGAACGTAGCGTATCGTCTGAGCACGCCAACTTTCGACGCGACGCCCCGTGCGACGTGGTCGACCATGGTGTTCCAGCTCATGTCCGCATCAAAGTGGAGACCTAAATATTTCGCAGAGCGAACAGTTGGCAGAGGCAGTCCATTACATTGCACTTGCAAGTCAAATGTTTGAGATCGTACTGGCGATATCGACATGATCTGTGTCTTCGTTTCATTCAAGATGAGACCGCGGTTCCTAAGCCAATCGGCGAGGTGCTGGACAGCACTTGAGAGATTTTGGGACACCTCATCCGTGCTCATGCCGCTGGATCTAATTGAGATATCGTCCGCAAACTGCAGGGTCGCAACGTTGTAAGGGGACAGCTCTTTCGCAATGTCACGGACGTAGAGAACAAACAACAGGGGCCCGAGAACTGACCCCTGTGGTACTCCGGAGAAGCTGGTGTATGGTGAGCTCTGTACCTGACCGACTTTGACATACTGTGTCCGATCTGAGAGGTAGTCTGCAAGCCATTGCAGCACCGTTCCACCAATTCCGACCTCGAATAGGTCCTGAATAAGGGTTTGGTGCTTCACCTTATCAAATGCTTTTGACATATCTACGAAAGCAATCCCCGTGAAGTACTTTTTTGTCTGGGCTTGGCATATGCCCTCAACGGCTAATACAAGGGCATCACATGTGGAATGATGTGAACGATAGCCGAACTGAGTTGGTGGAAATAGATCATGTCGGCACAAGTACTGAGTGAGCTGATCATGGATGACTCGCTCCAAAAGCTTTGAAACTATCGACATTAGAGACACGGGTCTGTGATTCTTTGCTATGCTGGGATCACCACCTTTAAACAGAGGTGAAATGCTGGCCACCTTCATAGGAGCTGGGAAATGTCCCTTCCTCATGGATTTGTTGAACAGTAAGGCCAATGACGGCGCAAGAACATCTGCATGAGCTCGAAGAAGGGCTGCAGGGATGCCGTCACTGCCAGTTGCCTTCGTCGGATTCTGTTGCTCTAGAAGCTTCCGGACTTTTGTAATAGATACAGGAACAAATTCCACAAAACTAGTTGCCGTTCGTGGCCCTTGGGGTAAGGGAAGATGAACTGGGCGGCTGGGATCTTCCACGATCTTGGCGAAAGCACTTCGAATTGCCTCAGCTGAGCACTGAAGCGGTGCCGATTTTCTTTGTTTCCCCGTCAACTGGTTGATGATTCGCCAGGTTTGTTTTACATCACAAGTCGCAAGCTGAAATTTTGAACTGTAGTACGCTTCTTTCAGCTTCCGGTTACAGGTAGTGGCCTCCCTTCTCGCCGCTTTGAATGTGGCGTACCTTTGCTCAGATCTGCCTGACAGCCACTTTCTATGAAGCCGGTTGCGCTTACTCAAAAGGTGCAAGAGCTGGCTGTCCATCCACGGTACCGATTGTCGCTTGTGCTGCTTACAAGATCTAAGAGGGGCATGAGTGTCAAGCACCTGCAGGAAGCGATAATTCCACTCCGTCCACATGTCTGTTGGGCTGCCTTCGATGCTGCAAAAATTCTGCTGAATCAAGTCAGCTTTGAAGCGTTCATGATTGATCCTTCGGTAGTTCCGGCACAACATTGATGTCTCGGGACTCCTTGTCGGGTCAAGGTAGAATTCACTTATGACCGCTGCATGGTCGCTGAAAGCCACGGGATGGATCGTTGCCACATTGTGCTGGTCAAACGTATTGAAGAACAGATCCAATGTGGTGGGTGTGGAATTAGATGCAAACCGTGTCCGCTGATGAACGCCCTGGTGGAGATTGTAGCTTGCCATTAGATCAGACAGGAAATGGAGCTGATGATCTGGAGCCGTTGATGGATCCACATTCACATTTAAGTCACCGCACAGTATCCGCACAGTATAACGTTCCTGCCCGGAGTGATAGGTATGTGCAATGTGATAAAACAAAACAAACAAACAAACACTGAGGACAGAATGGAATGAGTGGTTTGTTAGAACTCCAAGTTCTCCTTCTAGGGGCTATCATCAGGAAATAATAATGACTGGAAGCTGGCCGATAAGTGAAATATGCACACTGACCAGAAATACAGGAGACAGTATTTGCCATAACTTTTGTGGCGCACACAATCATCGGACAGCCTCGGACTTATGATCAGGCCTATATACCACTACTACCTACGTGTAGTGTGTGTGTGTGTGTGTCAGGGTGCGAGCGTGTGAATATACAAGTAACAGTGGACCGGCGCCACCAGGTTTGGCCAGCAAGGAAATACACCAGGCGGAGTGATGCAGCAGGGCATGGAAACTGTCACTATTGGTGTGAAAGCAGCTAAAGATGCGTGCCATACTAAGTAAGCATATAACAGTATGCACTGAAACTGAGAGACCCACGACCAGCTGGCTTAGGGGTGAAGTTTGCATATGCTGTGGATGTTGCTTTTCACATAACACAGTAGATTATCTGTTGTGTTTGCTATTACGGAGTGGGTGATATGTGGTTTGGGCTTGTGTGCTAATCATTAGCGCAAAGAGTATTTTGAACTGTGGTGTTGATGTTCTAAGAAGCAGTAGTGAGAGCCATTATTTTATTACAAAAGAGATGTACATTGGATGTAATTGCTATGGAACAACTGCATAATTATAATATTCAAGCATGCAAAAGTAAAACTATATGACTGTGTGCAAGTGGCTGCGTTGGAGTTGATGGATTATTAGAAAAAAAAGATTAGCTGTACCTCGCCAATGTGAAAGGCGGCTATCCTTTACTGAATACAAATCAATTGGGGATTTCCCTAAACTGTATACATCCTGCTCACCTGCACATGTTGGGACGGGTCCGCTCCACGTACCGTTGCTCTGACATACAATAGCTGTATCGGTCACGAGTGCAGCACTGCCAGCTATATGATACCCACTCTTACATGTGTAGGTGTAGCGACGGCCAAACAAAGGCTGAAATCCGTTGAACGTGCCGTTCGCCAGAGACTTCTTCAGTGCAGGGCACGGAACAACTGTAGGCGCCACAACAGAGTGCACATTATTGGTTTGCCTAGCAGATACAAGTTCAATCGACCACCCCTTTTTTGAAAATGCACATAGATGAAATAATACACAAATAATGGCTGAAAATGGCTCAGCTATTGCATGTGAGGTGTCTATCACAGTCCTAGTCGAGAACGTAGCATATCTTACATGAACATGTTGGAACACTGTCACTCCATGAACCGTTGAGGAGACAGCTCATTTTCACAACTCTCTTTGTTATGTCACCGGATGCCTTGATGTAATTGCCAACATAGCAGGTGTACTTCACGCTGTCACTAAAGTAGTTGCTGCCTGATGCCAACGTCCAGGCCCTTGTGATTCTCAATGGCACCTGTGAACAAGTGATACCTGTAATGCAACAAATAGACACACAATGCTTTGTAGGAAATGACAGGCTTGTACGATAATACCCTCAAATGATAAGAACCACACCCCTATTTCTATGGCAACTTCAATTCAAATCGAGCAATATGGACTCGCGGGAGTGTTCACCAAAAATATTGAGCTCGATACAAGCAAAGAGAGTGGAATGGCGGCTGAAAGCTCAGTTTCTTTTACTTGCACGATGGCGCTATGCATTTGGGATAGATTCGCTTAGGTATAACAGGCCAGCGACCTTGTGGAGACTTGTGCTTTTAGTTCATCGGTTTTCTGGTCGCAGCAGCTTTCCAGCTTTCCAGGAAGGTCTTGGTCTAGGAAATTGGAGAATGGATGCCAGAGTTACGAACGTTTTAGAGGTCGTGTGTTTTCAGTTAAAATGACCCATTCAGTTTGATGGTCGTTAGCGGATAGGTGGCAGTACCCTGAAGTGGTAAAATGGTTAAGAGTCTTGATGAACCAAAGTCAATGAAAAAGTTAACTCTTCAGACAAATGCTAGACAGAATTATAAAAAATATCAGTAACAGGTCAATTTAGCCGGCTTCATGCATCATCATACCAACTTTCCCTTTGTCATTCACTCTTTTCCCTTTTCCTAACCCGGGGTTCAAGGATAGAACACTTACGAGTACATGTAGGAACCGGAGCACTCCAAGACCCATTCAGAAGACAGCGCATAGTCAATGATGTCACAGAGAACATGGCTGCTGAAGATATGAAGAATCCATGTTGGCATTCGTATGTCCTGTTGTTAGTATATTCCAGACCAAACGACTGTACACTGCCATTCTGCAGGGTGCTGGGTAGGTCGGGACAGACAATAGCTGTAGTGAAGACAAAGATACAGAGAACGTCTCCCAACAGTTTTCTTTAGATATGGAGAGGGTCTCCATCACACCGATCAGAAGAAGCAAGGGAAATAGTCTGGCAGATGCCAACTGAACCGGGTTCATCTTGCTTCATTGCAATTGCAGTGATAGACCATGGTGGTGAAGGTGTTTTTACCCTTTCACTACTGATTATTTTCGCGTTTGAGTCAATTCACAGTCTACAAAAACAATTTTTTGTCATATCTCTGCTCTCCTTTGGCCATCTCTCACAAACAGCCACTCTCTGAAAAGCTATTGATGGTGTGGCTATGCACTCGTAGAAACTACAGTACCAGGCGCCATTCGCGTGTGCCGCGCTGTGATGAAGAATACGTTTCAAACTCAAAAGTTTTCAAATATGCGCAGTGCGATCTGTCACGTGCGGCTCTCCGATTTGTAAAATCGTGGCTCATAGAAACCAGACGAAGTTCTTGGGAAAGTGTCTAAAATCCGAAGGATTTCCAGCCCCAAAACGCAGAGGTAAACGAGAAGATATCAGAGTTTTTTCTCAGCGTGACGGCAACTCAAAATGTTTGAATGCTCATTTCTGATCGCGCACTAGCTTCGAGCTTCGTCGTGGGCGGATTATGCACCAAGCAGTGAAAGCGATAGTTGCAGTCGATAGACAAGGTCTTCCTGAAGACATAGAGCGCTCATTTGTAATGATCCGACAATATTTGAGCGTGTGACGAAATATTTAGTGCTCGCCTATTGCATCGATCCACGTGGATCGATATTTGAATGGCTGGTAGTGAGAGGATTAAAAAGTAATTGCTACCTTGTAGGTTGTCACTTTAAAGAGCTTAGAAAAATGGCCAATGTACAGACTCTATGATTCAGAATTCTTTGTATCCAAGCAGTTGGAACTTGCCTGCACATGTTGGAACTGGTGCACTCCAAGAACCGTTGATGAGACAATGCATAGTCATTGTGGTGACTGAAAATTTTCCCGACGCTGACATATAATACCCGTCTTGGCAATGGTATGTTCTGTTGCTTTTGTATTCTATTCCGTAGGACTTAACCTTGCCGTTGAGAACCGTGTCCGATAACTTCTGGCATTTGATAACTGTGAATCATGAAGAGTGAGAAACAATGCAAAATACTGAAAATAGGTAACATAAAGCAGTGTTTCTGCGAACAGCAAAGATTCCAACGCGGAATGCATGATGTGGTTGTGCAGAGAGCACCAAGAAGCGTTCTAATGCAAGGCTTTTCTCAAAGGTGATGTCGGTTTTTAACTGTTTGCCAAGACAGTGCTACCTACCTTCACATGTTGGAGCTGGTGCACTCCAAGAACCGTTGATCAGACAATGCATAGTCAGCGTGGTGACAGAGAAATTTCCCGACGCTAACATATAATACCCATCTTGGCAATGGTATGTTCTATTGCTGTTGTATTCCATTCCGTAGGATTTAACCTTGCCGTTGAGAACCTTGTCCGATAACTTCTGGCATTTGATAACTGTGAAACATGAGACGTAGGGATAAAAACAAACAGGCAACATGAATGTTTGGTTCAGGAAATCTTCGATTTGCTCTTCTAGACTGGTGTGGGCAGTGTATACTTGTAGGTGCATGACTATTGTACTATTCTAAGAATTGGAACACTTCCAATCTGTTCTCTTAATAAACAAGTGTTGTGGCGGTAAGCAAACAGTGCATGGTGTGCAGTGTCAGTCTAGTGCACTGCTTTGCTCAAAAAGATGATGTCAGCTGGTAACTGCTCGAGATGGTGCTACCTACCTTCACAAGTGGGAGCTGATGCACTCCAAGAGCCATCACTGAGACAGTGCATAGTCAGAGTTGTAACCGAGAACCGACTCGACTCTGCTATGTAGTATCCGTGCTGGCATGTGTAAGTTCTGTTGCTCTTGTACTCCACACCACCAGAGACCTGTACTTTTCCATTCAATACTCGGTCGTAAAGAGACTGGCAGGTCACAACTGTACAGGAAAAAGAAATGGAAAACTTGAGAAGCACTCGTGACTGATACAGCTGCAAGTCCACAATATTTAGAAAAGCCAGCAATGGGATACAAATTGTCATAACACTGACTGATCAGTCCGGTAAGAAAGAACATCAGAAAAAATGTAGGGAGTCCAGTCAGAAAGTTCATATTTTCTTTTCTTTTCTAAATTTATTATTGGCTCAACACCCGAGTTTTAAATCAGAACAAAATCTTCACCATTTCGGGCTTACATACATTCCGGTAAGAAAAAATATCAGAACAAATCTTCACCACTGTTGCGGGCTTACATACCGTTGCACATTGGAACTGGTGCATTCCATGATCCGTTACTAAGACAGCGCATAGTGAAGGCAGTGACTGAGAAATTCCCAAAGGTTGAAATATAGTATCCAGTCTGGCAATAGTATGCCCTGGTGCTGTTGAATTCCTTGCCATCCGCCTTCACCTTGCCGTTCTGCACAATGCTGGACAAGTTCTGACAGGTTACGACTGGAGGTTACGCGCGAGAGGCAACACAAACACATACCAATGCGTGAACGCGTCCAAATCAACGTGACGTGTTATCAGATCAGCACCGTAGATCCGTCACTACATCATGTTCATACATAGAAGGATAATTGCAATAGCAGCTGCATGTACTTCTTGCAAGTAGATGCGCAATTATTATTATATTATTATATTAAAAGCATGTCCGCGTAGGTGGCGGGGGTGCCAATTTCGCTTATGCCATTCAGGATTGATGTCTGAAGAGTAATACGATACAATGAAATGACAGAAGTGACGTCAACAAAAGCCGTTAGCAACAACACCAATATGGCTAATGGAAAACTTCATCCAAAGTATAACATAAAATAGAATATGCATACAACATGTCTGGTCAGTCCTGTTAGGTGGGGCGGGCTCCACGCCATGCCTGTCGGTCCGCTGCCATTGTGCGGACTGCGTCAACATCTAGCGGCTGGTGGAAGGTAAGTCCATGCCATGATAACAGTTTCGTCTGCAAGACCGTTACCAAAGTCGTCCGAGGTCGACCCCTAAAGCGTTCAGTGCCCTCGTCGTTGGCCAGGCGAAGATACATATCCACTGCCAACTGTGGAGGAGCAGTTGGGGCCAAACGAAAGATATGGCCAGCGAGACTGTAGCGGTGCCTTGTGATCATCTCGCTGATGGGGACAGCTCCGCAGCGCTTATACAGAGTGTCATTGCTAATTCGTTTAGGGTACCGCATGTCGATGATGCTCCTTAGCTGGGTCCTGTGGAACGAATCCATTCGCGCGAGCTCCGACATCGGTAGGCCCCAAGTGCCGCAGTTGTGGGTAAGGACTGGGATGACGTAGGCGTAGTAGAGCCTCAGCCGAAGACCTTCACTGATCTGGCGCCTCCGGGTCCAGATCTTGAGGAGTGAGTTGAAGGCGGCGGCGGCCAGTTGACGCCTCCGAGCAGCATCTTCGGCGTCACCAAGGAGGGAGCCTAGTTTGCGGACAGTACGCCATGTTTCTTGGTTCCTATCGGGAAATCGGGCGACGGTGGTATGCTCTGTCTTGGAGGGATTGACGTTCAGGTTCCGCAATACGTATACAAATCCTAAAGAGGTACTGAAGTTCACATGCCCTGCGTGAAACACAGTCAATCACATACATTGGTGCCAAATCATGCAAATTATCAGACACTATCTGAAAACCCATCCTCTGTCCAAAAGCAAATTTGGAAAGGAAATTTTCACACAACCCAAGGATTGCCATTGCGTAATGATTGCGTGTATTGCATGTGCACTGCGGTCAGGTTTAATACAATGGTGTACCATGCACATGCTTGATAGCGGCTTGTAAACCACTCAGGGAGGATTGCCCATAGCCAATTTAAGGGGAATCTGGAAAATGGTCTGTTCCTAAAAGAGGTTATAATTATAAACTTGTACTGAATAGACTACATCCCCTCATTCCACCTGTACCTAAGTATGGTAGTAAGGACACGAAACATTATTATTATGTCACCGTCCAATGGCAGAAGCCAATGCAAAGGAGGGGGCGTTAGCCAGCCATGGCAAGAGAAGAAAAAAAATGAAGGAAAGAAGATGATAATCGGAAGAAAATAATGCATCAGCGGGGTGAAAATGTATCACTATGCATACCTTCGCATGTCGGAACTGCTTTATCCCAAGAGCCATCACTCATGCAGCGCATGGTCAACGTGGTAAGGGAGAAATTCCCGGATTGGTTCAGGTAATATCCAGTTTGGCATGCATATACTCGAGTATTGCTGTATTCCAAACCAGTTCCGGCCACCTGCCCGTAGGCAATACTGTTGGTCAGGTTTTGACAGGTTACAACTGCAAGTAGTACAGTGTAAACACAATGTACGAAGGACATGGTTACCTGTTAGTTGAAGATAGCTAGAATATGGTTCGGCTTTGACTCTGAGTTTATTATTTGCTGCTTCACTGTAAGTTTGTAAGGCTTTGTACCACCGTGCAACCAGTGCTTTTTTGAGCTGCCACAAACAGATTCAGAACAATGTTCTTGGGTTGTTTGTGTATCCCGTACATCAAGATGCAAGTGAAATTCATCCCAGGGTAGTATGACAAGGCATGCGTTCGTGCACTGCCGATCCGAAAATCAACATCCAAGACTAAGCTCTGCCTTGTAACTCATACACCATGGTCGTATGACATTAAAAATTGTTACGGACTGCACTTACTGGTACATGTGACCGGAGGCATGTTCCAGGTTCCATCAGCCTCACATGTTAAGTCCTGTTTGGTTATAGAAAACACCGAGTCATTGACATGATAGCCTTGGTCGCAGCGGTAGGTGGCAACACTTTCATAGTACAAGGAGTTGGTGAAAGATAGTGTGCCGTTTGCCATTGGTGGCAGTGGTAGACAGGTGATCCCTGCACACATGAACAACCAGAAAACATAATGGTCAGTGATTCGGACATCTGATTTGCCTTTGACTCAGAAATCTTCCATTATATGCATAGAATCATGAAGAATCCCCCCCCCCCCCCCGCATTTGATTCTTGATATCACTTCCAATACAGTGGTGCTAGGTGAAATTCAAGCACAGAATCACCACTTTACAGATCATGCACACCCCAACCATGCATGAAGTTAACGTGTGAAAAACCAAACGCAAAACAAAACCCAGCTTGACTTACGTAGGCATATCGGTGGGGTTCCAATCCATGTTCCATTTGGTGCACATTGCACTGTTGCATTGCTGACATTCTGTTCAGCATAACCAGCTACATAATACCCCACATCACATTGGTATGTCACTATACCAGGGTACACCAGCTCTTGGCTCAATATGGAACTATTTGCCAGGGCAGGTGGTGGAGCCATACATGTTATACCTGAAGTATGGGGTGAGAAAGTGAATATACATGGAACATTGGAAATAAGATGCAAGTTATCATCCAATACAGAAGCAGCCTAAACAGTATTAGTAGCAACAGGGAAGGCTGGGCCATCAGAAAATTGGGTCCCAATTTTTTTTGGGGAAAGCCATAAACTGCATAAAATATTATAATTAGAAGTCTAGTTCCTCATGAAACTGTTAACATTCGTATACGTTCTATTATGTAAATTCTAGTGTTGAAACGATCTCACCGGATACTCGTTAGCTCGCTCGCCAGAAACTCGGCTCGTTTGTGCGGCCAGCTCGTTTGCACCAACAAACACCGTACACCGTACTCCGTACACATGGCAGTACATGTCGAAATATTTTACGACTCCCTGGTCGATCGAGAGTCCAGTCCCGCGCAAAGTGAAAATCACTCGCAGTTACAGGTGACTGTATGCCTGCACGACACTTGAGTTGTTTCAGTTGTCGTTGCAGCTTTGGTGGACTCTACTGATGTCTTGTTCCGCATCTGCTGACCTGTCGCAGGATATGCTTCGGTCACCTCTCCATTCGAGTGAAAGTTACGCTCAGTCGTTTGGAAGTTTTCTCCCGCGATGCAGCGAAGACCAGGGCTACTTGAAATATTTGCAAAACGGTCTATTCTTACAAAGGCTAATCGACGACGGCGCTGAAAAGACATCTCGACACCAAACAGCAGTCCGAAGTGAAGCAGCAGCAACCCCAAATGCCGGCGGTGATAATTCATGTAATTTGAACCAGCTGAAAATAATCATATTTGCCACATCAATGAAACTCGTTAGCTCGCTCGATAGCTTGCTCGTTAGTGGAACTGATCGCTCGTTTGTTATAGATACGCTCGTTTCAACACTAGTACTAAATTCATCGGGAAACTTTTCAAAATTAACAATGTATTGAGGTGGCTGGGAATCCAAATTATTACAGATCCAAATATGGACTTCATCGGAGGGAGATATATTATCGTACGAAGAGACAAAGCCTGTTGTAAAACTGATGAGGCCTTTCGTACCATTACTTCTCAAATCAGTACATCGTGATACTGTCAAGAAGCACAACGATCTCAATTTATACAGCACGCTGGCGATGAAATAGCAATGAAAATTAGACAGGTTGATTGCTTGTGCTAATTGCGCTAAAGATTGCAGGCCCTTGTCAATTTTTGACTACTTCACTAGCCTTATGGCGAAATGCATCCAGAGTCAGAGAGGTATGAAAGTCAAAAGGACTGAACGTTACCTTGGAGTAATACTGCACTATTTACATGGTTGTGTATTGTGGCAGTGCTAAGAGCTTACCACCACATGTTGGCTCTGGAGTAGACCAGTGTCCACTGATGAGACATAGTGATGTGTGACTGGTGATACTCTGATTGCTCTGTCCAGAGATGTAGTATCCCGGATTACATTGGTATGTGATATTGCCAGGGTAGAGCACACCGTAATGACTTGTGTATCCGTTGACTAGACTATTGTTGCTACTTGTTGCACAGGTTACATTCGCTGGAAGCACCATGAACAGAAATACGGAAGAAGTTTAAAAAAAAGCAAGATGTGATAAGGGGTCCAGGAAAAGGACCAATAAGGACCAATAAGGATCAATAAGGAGAAGGTGAAAAGTTATTTGTCTTTGATACAAGATCATGTATGTGCATTTCAAAGCACCAAATGCAAGCCCTGTACTAGAAAGTTAAGTCAAGTTATTTAGGGAAATAGGTAATCAATAATTTGTGTAGCACTAAGGAGCAAACTTGCAGATGTCTGGGTTGTGGCTTGTCAGAGTGTGAACCATAAAATATTATGAGAAGGAGAACTATGTGTACCTAGATCCCTTTGTGCATGTGCATGTTTGGAGGTGGAGCAAATGAGTGAGTCTTTTGTGCATGTGCATGTTTGGAGGTGGAGCAAATGAGTGAGTCTTGTAGATCAGACTACACATACATTGTCACATAGTGCCAGCGGTCTGCACTCATTTTTATCTTGGAGAAGTAGCAGCAGCAAACAGTGCCACTGAGTAGGCTGGGATAGGCAAGGCTACACTTTTTGTACACATCCATTTCACTACACACATTCATACACTGAACTATATCAGCTGCACTGGGGCCCTTCCCCTGACTGTACATCATTGAGGGTGCACGTTCACTATGCTTCACAGTACTAAAGACTCGTTTGACCATGTAAGATGCCTCAACCTTGACTATATTCTGACCCATTTTGAAATTCTTGACTCAGAAGATGTCCAAACTCAGAAAGATAAAAAAATTCCGGTCAAGGATATGTACGACTTAAAGGGGAAGTTAAGGCAAAAATTAAAATTTCACCAGTTGTAGTCTTCGGGGTGCTGAGTCGAATGGTCTTGGTCCGAGAAAGCTGAGACGCTCCCTTCCTACTTGAATCCCAATCGAACTCGTGCACTTCCACCGAAACTGGGTGACTGCGCCCTACTAGATGGGGATTTGTATGCAAAATGTCACTAAAAGCGCCATTTCGTTCTTATAAAAGCACGGATGACCGCGATTAGCCCAAATGTTGTAGACTTTTGGACGCTGAGTCGACTGGTTTTGGTCCGAAAAGGCTGCGATGCAGCGTTCCGCCTTTATTCCCAATCGAACATGGTTGAACAAGCAGCCACGTGCTCCTGGGTGCCCAAATCACCTGGTCACCACGCCAGCAGGCGACAACTTTCACACCAAGGTTCAACTCGAGTTCAACTCGAGTCACAGGAGTGCACCCAAAAAAGGTCAAACAGGCTAGTAAGTTGTATCCAGCAGGCACGGTGACCAGGTGACTGGTGTACGCAGGAGCACGTGCTGCATCGCAGCCTTTTCGGACCAAAACCAGTCGACTCAGCGTCCAAAAGACTACAACATATGGGCCAATCGCGGTCATCCGTGCTTTTATAAGAACGAAATGGCGCTTTTAGTGAGATTTTGCATACACATCCCCTTCTAGTAGGGTGCAGTCACCCAGTTTCGGTGGAAGTGCGCGAGTTCGATTGGGATTAAAGTAGGAAGGGAGCGTCTCAGCTTCCTCGGACCACGACCATTCGACTCAGCACCCCGAAGACTACAACTGGTGAAATTTTGATTTTGCCTTAACTTCCTCTTTAACCGAACATTCCTCGTATCTAACTTAAGCTTCGCCTTACCTTTCCTCTGACATACAAATGTGACTGATTTACCACATCCAAGATTATCCCATTGGTCTCCAGATACAAGGGGAGGATTGTACCACATGGTCACACAGTTTTGTTCAGCCTTGTTTGGTTCACCTGGCTCCCAATTTGTGTAGGTGACTTCCGTTTGTGTTTCATAGTCTAGCCACGTTCCATTCACTCGATGGATAGCCAGCCAGATTGTCACCATGGGTTTTGATTTGAACACGCACTCATCTTCTACAGCGTTGCGTGCGGTGGCGAGCTGCCCACCAGCATAGGTGGTACTGCAGTATGTTGCAGCTGCGGAGAAGTTTTTTTTCACTGTCCCAGAGTATAGGTATTCATATGTGGTGTTTACGCAATGTGCCCAAGCTGTAATAAGAGAAAACAAAGGAAAACACACACACACACACACACACACACACACACACACACATTCCAAAATTCAAATATTATAAACAACCAGCAAAATAGGAACAGAAAAAATGTTATCGTCGCCATGGCTCATCATAAGCCTACCTGTGCCCTTGGGATTCCACTGGTTCACTACAATTCGAATCTTCGAATACAAAAATCGGAAGGGCTCATCATGGCCAATTTGTGGTGAATGTTACCATGATGTCTTAGACAATCAGTTTCTCTTTTTGCACGAAGACTGTACACTATCACAAGCATCAGGTTAAGATCCAAGTCCTGGTTCCAATCACAAACAATAGCCCTCCGATCATAGAACAGCAACTCAATGTTCATACCGGTATCTAATGTTACTTGTAAGATTTTACAAATGCATCCACTGAGCATGGTCCACATCGCCCCCTATCAGATTGCGTTAGACAGAACTCCATGTACACAGTTTCAGGGTACACTTTCTTTGGAAGCATTGGAACATCCACAAATAATGTTTTGAAATACACATGCACTTTCAGTGACAAGGACCTGAGTTGTGCCGGCCAATGGAATCCAATATCATAGGCAACTGCAGCACAGGGTACAGGCTGTTCCATTTGTGATTTCATCATGCACACTACCCCCCCCCGCCCCTCCCACACCCACACCCACCCACTCACACATACACACACCCGCGCGCACGTGCGCACGCTCACCGACACCCGCACCCACATGTGCCCCCCCCCCCCCCATACCCACATGCGAGCACGCATACACGCACACAGCAGGATGTCTTGTCACAGGCATGTGCTAATGGCTGCAATGTGTACAAACACACATGTACATTGTTTTGTTCCCACTATTATGACTATACTGTTGCATTTAGCGTTTTTGGTCGCATCCACAGGCACATTTCAACATGAACACAGAGACAACATGGGTATATTGGGCTCTAGCTCTTGCAGCGCTTATTGTACTCACAGTCCTGGAAAGCTACCTTGACAGCAATATGCTAAGTCAGCATTAACCTGAGCAGCCCGTTTGCACTGGGTACACCTCAAATGCCTCTCTTTTCATGGGCGTAGATGGCACATCTGTGGTGTGGTGACCATGTGCCCCACCACATCTGTGTCGTAGTGACCATGTACCCCAGCATAGCTGTGCTGTAAGGACAGGTTTCGTACTCCCTGGCCTGGTGGTGACCACGTACCACAGGAAACCTCAAAGTCGCCGTTTTCAACCTATGTTCACTATGTAGTACCTATGACAGCCCTTTGCTGGTGTGCTGACCGGACTACACACACACGCTACGCGCCTGCTGTTTCTTCCAGTCAGTATGGAGACTTTTCAGACCTATAGTATAGCCAGGTTCTTGTGCATTGCCATAATTTTCCAGCATGGACCATGCGCAATGTTTGTCAGCAGAGCAGACCGAGGTCAGGGAGGCACTGTTCAAACTCTTCAACACCGTACACTCAGGTGGCTGGGATGCATAGCCTAATAATAATAATAAAAATAATAATAACACAGATACGCGTACAACATGCACAGCTGTGCTATACATGCTTCCGCTGCCTACTGTACGTTATTGTGCAATACGCGTATCAACCCCTCATAGTATTTGCACCTTTACCCTCATATAATAGGGCTCCTCATTTTCATTCCTGCGGCCTGTGAGGTTCAACCATACTTCGTACTGACTGATTGTGTATAAAGATTATATGAACGGACCGATTGTACTGCACTCCAAACAGTCTCAATGAGACTGTGTATATTCATGAGTCATGGCATAAAACGGTCGAAGTTAGTATGCTGGGGTACATTTGCACCCCAGCAGGCGGTACATAATTATACTAATTTATAGTACTCACTGAGTGCCTGCCCTGCAGTACTTCCAACGTGCAGCAACAGGTGCCTCGCTAAGATGTAAGCTGTAAGCTGCACTATCCATGAGAGACATGGCTGACGCATTGCAATTGTAATTGGCTCGCTGACACGCAGAGCAGTGCGCGCTGCTGATAGCGTTGTTGATCCCGCCTTCCTGTCCTAGCCGTCTTTCACTCCCAGTTCCTACTACTTGCCTCTCGCTAGTAACATCTCCATTCTCGGAAACTATGAAAAACAGGTCCTTTCCCTCCGACCTCGTAGTACCAAGTGTTCCGATGCTTCCTCTTGCACACATGAACGTGTCCAGAATACTAGCATTAAATTTTAGAAAGAGAATTCACCGGTACGGTTAGTGAATGCCCACACAATAGGCCGTGTACAAGGGAGTGTCGTGGGAGAAACAGGAACTTTGTATTAGCGAAATCCGCCAAAGACCCTGAGCTGACCGTCTTTGATTGTTTGAACGATTCTAAAATTGATTATCTAAAAAAACTGAAATTCCCAACCTTTCTTCAACAGTCGCATACCCCCCCCCCCCCCCCCCCCCCCCGGACCATCAGGCGCCGGACAGTAGATCTACATCATGACTACACAGTCATTTGTTGTACTACTAACACCGTGCCAACGGCATCAACATCTCCCTGCCTATGCTAGCTTGTATTTGCGCTTTGTGCATATCCAGAAATTCAGAAGGCGCTATACATGTATCAGATCGGGATGACGGGAGAGATCTCGTGACCAAATGGCTGCAGACTCTACCAGACGTCAGCATGACTTTGTCGATCTAGTCATGTAGATCTATGACCGCCAAGAGTTGCATTCCTTACAACCTCCGACTATGGGAAAACACATTCATCATCATCAGGAGTCCCTAGCCAAGACGGCTAACGGATTTACTGTGTGCCGACCCTGTGTTAGAGCCCTACCTCTGCAATGCGGTCGACAGCTGAGCTGGTACTGCCGAGGACATCAAACACCAAAAATGGTTCTTGCATTACAGACATTTGGCCGGGTGTAAAGCCTTCTACAGTCAACGGGGGTCTCCCTAGCTAGGGCTGAGGCTAAGGCTATACAACTGCTAGGTTCTAAGTAGGGCTGAAACGATCGTGGATTTTCATGTATCGATTACTCTTTAGCTTAACGATCGAGTAATCGATTATAATCGTTAGCAAATAGTGTCATAATTCTGTGCAAACATTACTCTGTTTCCACAAACTATGCCTTCATAATACAAACAAATCTGCATTAGTGAAAGGGTAGCTCCGAAACATGGCAGTTTTGAAGTCAATTTAACCTCAGAACATGAACCATACCCCTGGCAACTGCATACTCCCAGCGGAAACTGATTCAAACTTCACAAAATGAGGGTTTACAGTACTTTCTGGACACAAATTTAAAAAACGCAAAATAATCGTAATCGGTAATCTAAACGATTGCTCGATCGTTAGAGTTATCAAACGAGTACTCGATTATTCGGTATAATCGTTTCAGCCCTAGTTCTAAGCATTTTGCTTTACAACTGCGCTACATGGGCCCTCACTGTCACTGAGGCACTCATAACGTCACTGGATGCGCTGGCTTGCAAGTTGCAACAGGATAGTTTGGAGACAACAACGCTGTGAATGGCCAACGCTCCCCAGGGCTTGTTCTGTACCTCCGGCATGGGCGCCGATGACTCGCGTAGCTGTCTATAATTCTGTCTGTAATTCTGTCTGTAATTCGGGAAGTGTTTTCATCCTGGAAACGGATCGTCACTCTAAGCTGGTATCCCTAGTGATGTTTAGCTTTAGGCTCTGAGAGCACAACAATACAAATTAATGCAGTCCTCTCAACGCACAAAAATCATGAGCCTACTCAAGCTCAACTGATGGGGGGCGGGGGGGGGGGGGGGGGTTGAGTTTCCCGAAACACTCTGTACTAAACAAGAAGTGGTGCTGTTCTTGCAGGCTTGCCGAGTCGAAGACTCGATATGATGGACTTCTTCATGATGAGCTCTGGAGGGCAGTCGTGAGTCAGCCAAGTGTCAATTGTCCAACTTCCTTCCTTTTCCTGCTGTGAATCTTTTGTATAAATGTTATGTTCGTCCCCTCCTTGAATATGCTGTTCCCGTTTGGATGCTTTCCGTTTCAGCCACCATGTCCACAACCCTTGATAAACTGCAGGCTACTGCTGCTAGAGCATACTTAAATAGTAAACTCAAGCGTCGGCCTGACTGGACGACTTCCAAAGAAGACCTCAATGTTCTGTCCTCTTGGGAATCGTTAGCATGGCGACGGCAGATTCTTGGCCTTGTCTATTTCCACCATGTATTCTACCAATACCCCTCCTTGTTGTCTCACTTCCAGCTACCCTCTTCCCAAAGCAGTCGTCACCCTTCATCCATAATTCTTCCTAAAGCTGGCACCTTCTTTCGTAAATCAACCCTTTTTTCTTTGAGTGTTGCCTGGAATAAACTTCCTGAAGATATTCGTTCACTCTCTACAACAGCGAAATTTAGTATTGCTGTTCGTCGGTATCATTCGCAATCTATGTTTTCTTTGAAAGGTATTCCTGACTTTTGTGTCTAGGCTAACCATATCTATGATAGTTTCAATAGTTTGTGTATAATGTCAGTTATAGTAGTCCGCAATGCTGCTTTTCTAATTCTCATTATGATTAGCATGCAATGTACCACCCGAAGTACTGAATTTACTTCTTCTGTACTCTATATTCTAATGTATCTTCTACCTCTTCTCCCTTACGAACATACTTTCTCATTTTCCATACTTATATAGGAGACTCCCTTCGATAGGCATCTATTTGCCTCTGGAGGATCCGTGAAATAAAAATCAATCAATCAAAATCAATCAAAAAAAATCAATTCAAGTCGAAAAAACAAGCATGAGCTCCCAAGTACGTTTGGGAGCAACACACACACACACACACACACACACACACACACACACACACACACACACACACACACACACACACACACCTTGGTCCTTGGTAACACTGCCATCAAATGGTCACGTGTCCCCTGTGCAGGGGTCGACAGCACTGAGTTCAGCATTGGATCCAGAAACGCCGCTCTACTTCCTGGACAGGAAATTAGCACAGCTATGCAGGTCGAAACCACAGGATGACTTGCAGCAGCGACCGCAGCCGAGACAATGCGCTCTGCAGCAGGGCAGGGCAACCCGCTGTTTCCGGACTGAGTCTGCCGATGCCACAGCCGAGACCGACGCCGCTTCAGCAGCCGAGTTGGAGAGACACTTATGCGAAGCTAGCCCGCCAGCACTCAAGAACCGTCTCCCGCACGCATTACATAGTCGGCTGACGGACTGCTCAGATATGGGCTTCCTCCTCTCGGCCAGGCACTTGTGGCGATTCTTGTATTTCTGGTGGGCGAAAGTACGCTGGCAGACATCGCAGAGCACAGAAGTGTCACGCTGAGCCGATCGCGGTACTGGTTGAGCGGAATACGCACTGCGCCATTTCCAAACGCTCCTGGGCGAGGTCGTACCATTCCGTGGGGTCGTGTGGTCTGCGGAGAGGTCAGCTCTGACAGAGTCTCGCCACCGTTTCCGAGGACCGCAAGCCGGCCTCGGCGGAAGGAGCGTACCAAACAGGAGCTGGCGCGGAGTTCTATCGCCGTCACACACACACACACACACACAAACACACATTCCCAATTATTATCGCCAAAGTCGCTACAACCTCTACTTTATAATCTTTCTATACACCACAATTTGGCATGGCCACCTTGATACACAGCTTCTTACACGTTCAACTGCCACCAAGAGTACATAACCCCCCTCGACTCTTGCTGCCACAGATAACTATGACGAGCACAGCATAGAACAGAGAAACAAGAATCAGAACCAGGTGGCATTCGGGACGAGATGCAAGATGCTTCTACACTGCTGACTTTCCACTGCTAAACACACACACCCATGCTCACTCTCACGCACATGCTCGCTCTCCTTCTCTGGCTCACTCAATTCATTACTCGAACCCCATACTACTCACGATGTCGCCCTTCTCATTATCATTATCACCCATTGTTCGTCAGGTCCGTTGTATCCGCAATCTTGAATTCCCGTCTCCGTTCGCTGACGCTGTCCTTGTTTATTAGTTTGGGTTCTGCCACTATTTTCTGTACATCGTTGTGGTCAATTAAAAGTTGTTGATGTCGGTTCTGGTGTTACTGCCCGCGATCGATGATTGTTTGCCCTATATGCTCGCGAGAGTAACCTTTTTTCCTGATGATGCCCACCTAGCAGCACTGGGCATACGTATGGACGACTTTGTCCATTTTAACGAAGCGTATGCACAAGAAGATTGGTTGCTTGCATCACTGGTGCGGGGCGAACCTTCCACATGGCAAACCTGCACGAAACTGCCGCTCCCTGCTCACAATTGTTCCAGGAAATTCACCCATCATCAGGTGAGCGTGAGTGGGCTGAGTAGGCAAAGGAAGTGTCCAGTGTCGCGACCTACCAACTTCCTATTTTAGCTACCGCTGACTAGGAATTAACAGTAATTATTCGTACTGTTCAACACTGTTGTGCCCGACGTGGGCTAGGGCTACTAGGAGGTGACCGCGTTGCGAATGACCTAGGGTCCTCAACGCTGGTTCAATACATCCTTGAGCGACACTGACTCACGCTGCTATCTGGTGTTCGTGAGGTGTTTGTCGCGCTGGAAACGGAGCGTCTCTGTAAGTTTGCATCCCTGGCGGTGTTTTGGCCTAGAAAACACTATAAAAGCGGTGCTCTTTAGACAAAATCTTCCTCAGCCAATACAACTCCAGCTCAACTGATGAGGGGTGAATTCCCGAAACACTGTATATTGAGCAGGGAGTGGTGCTTTCTTTCAGGCTTGCCGAGTCGAAGGTTCGATGGACTCGTGTGCTCTGGATGGCAGTCGTGAGTGAGTGAACTGTGGAGTCAATTCTACGGTAAATGCGAGAGCTCCAGTGTTGCGAGTAACCAATCTGAGCGGTATTGGCAAAGTCGCTACCACTTTTAAGAGTATGCTTCCCACCCTTAGCTCACGACTCCTTGTTAATCAAGCCCTACTAGCATGGGACATCCACTAAACCTACCCACCACACCTGCAACAACTACATCTTGCACCACAACGTCAACACAAGCCATACACCCTTGGACAGACAAGAACGTACTCCATCGAACACTCACACATAAACAGACGCCGAGGTACCCCATCAATAATGCTTTCACCCTCTACAATTCACTCCCTATCGACATCACAACCCACCATCGTTGGGAATTCTTTCCGAAACAATGCATCCAGTCTTCTTTTGAGCAATACCTGTTCCTGCTCTGCGCACCCCCCCCCCCCCTCCCTGGTTTCTGATATCTCGAAAGTGTATTTTTAAAACTATTTCGATCACCCTTGCTGTTTACCTCGCTTGTTTTTCATGATCCATTGCTTATTGCCTCTCCGGGTAATTTCCATCTAGCTGTTTCTGGCCAGTATCAGTTCTATCACTTTTCAATCTTCCTTATTGGCGTCACGCCATCGTGGAATAAAAGAATAATAATAATAACATGCATATTCCATCTTCGTCTCAATGCTACACTGCGACTCGTCGTAGAGTCGTACAGTCTACAGAGTCGTGGTAGTCACGCGATCACTGAAATAAACTATTTTTTGCGGACAAATAAACTATTTTTTGCGGGCAATATCGCATATTATTGCCCGCGGCGCGAAAGGTGCTGATTCGCTGGAGTACGGGCAACAATCACGCGCCATGCGATAAAAGAATAAAAATAACAGGCATATGTCAAGTTCCAGAGTGAGTGAGTCAAAGCTTTCACCAGTGGCAAAACAAAGCAGGATGGGGCGTTAGCCAGCAGCTATGGCTGGGAAAACAAACAACAGGCTATTATGGTGTCATAGAAGACACAATTCAAGTTGGCTAATGTCACGCCGATATTGAAATCCCGTATGGGCGATCCTACTTCTCCTTCGAACTATCGTCCTGTGTCACTCACGTCGATTCTGGCTAAGACTCTGGAACGCCTGGTTCTAAATCAGGTATGTGACAGTTTGACCATCGAAAATCACCTCCACGATCACCAATTTGGGTTCCGACCAGCTCGTTCCACGACACAACTGCTCACACTTGCTGTAAATGATTGGAAACTGGCCCAGGACCGCGGAGAGACTACCAGTGTAGCCTTTGTCGACCTCAGCAAGGCGTTTGATCGCGTCCAGCATCAACAGTTACTCATTGCGCTCCATGGCATGGGTGTTCATGCAAGCGCCCTGCGTTGGTTTGCGTCGTACCTCGCCGGGAGATCTCAGCGTGTCGTCACGCCAGCCAGCCAGTCCTCAAGTCTTGCAGTGTCTCGAGGAGTTCCTCAGGGAAGTATTTTAGGCCCTACCCTCTTTAATGTCTACCTGAGGGACCTTCCCCGGCTTGCGGAGACAGCGGGTTCAAAATTACTGATGTTCGCAGATGACAAGACAGTCTACTCTAGTGATCCGTCGAAGGCGCGTTCCGAAGCCAAGTTGTCATCGGCACTGGAGATACTAAACAACCACCTTGGCTCCATTGGTATGCAGATAAATACCGACAAAACCGTTGTCATGCAAATCCATCCCAAACGTGCCACAGGGAGTCAGCAACACCAACAAAGGCAACAACTGCAAATCACCTTGTCAAATGTTAAGCTAGGGGAAGTGGAAAGCACCAGATGCTTAGGAGTCGTTGTTGACAATAAGCTATCTTTTGACCAACACATTAACAATGTCGTCCGGAAAGCCTCACGGAAGATCGGTGTACTGCGTCGATCTTTCCGCCAGATGAACCTGTTTGCCCGCCGTACTTTCGTTGTCGGTGTTATTCAGCCTGATCTAGAATATGCTCTCCCTGTATACCTTTCGTTTATATCCGCTAAAAATAGAAACAAGCTAGCCTCACTCCACCGGCGCGCTGTACGAGTTGCTTGTGGCGCATCACCCCAAGCTAATATCACGCCACTTCTTCACCACCTCAATGTTTCCTCTTTCCAATATCGATCAGTATTTTTGTTCCTTGTATTCATTTTCCACTGTTACT